ATGGGACTTCGAATCAATTGGATTATAAAAAGCGCTGCTTCCGTAAAAGTCAATGAAATTGCTAATTTTTAATTTTGTTAAATTCTGGCGTGAGAACCACGCCACTGTAAGTAGTTCACGTGACTCACCCCACCACGCTTGAAGTGACTGCTTATTAATGAGCTACATTGATTGTACGATACTGCGGGCGTTGATGCCGTAACCAGAGGTTCCAATTCTAATGGGATGGGCCCCATTTTAAGGCCCATTAAGCCCATTGTCCTATGATCTTTCATGGACTTTATGCATGGGTCTTGAGTAATTGGGCGGGAACTTTTTATGGGACCCACCCAAAAGACTTTATATATTTTTCTAAAGCAAACATTTTTACTTATCACTTTAACCCAAAGTGTATACTCAACACCTATATCAACACTTAATATGTGTCCATAAGTATAACCATAGTGACATAAATCAAAGCAAAAAGTTAACTATAGTTATACATATGGACACATGTCAAATATTAAGAAATGTAGTGAGCATACATTTTATATTAAATTGGTGAACAAAACTATTTCTTTTTACCTAATGTGTACGTGTGCGTCCACGAGTTCACACGTCACTAAAGAATTGGGAACCGCCTAAGTTATGTAGGTGAAAAAATAAAAATGGACCATCTAGGTCACGCATGGCACAACATTCAAATTATTTGCTGACAATTTTACCAAATATGTATGTATATACATAGATATATTTTTGTGGAGACATTAGATTTGACATTGAAATATTTTATAGGTTAGGGTGCTATTTGAAATTTGGATCATACTTCTGAGGTGCAAAATATAACTTACACAAAAAAGTTAGAGATTAAACCCAGTATAAAAATACATTAAGTTTAGAAGCGATTGAATACACGTGATGTTAGTGTTTTTTTTTTTTCTATAAATAAATCAAATCAGGGAAGGGATGATGGAAGGAGATGAAGCCTTCACTAGTATACAACCACATTCAAATTTGACAAAAACATAATTGCAATGAGACCTGCCAACCAAAGAATTAGGTTTTCAGCGGTTACAATTTGCTTTAATCATTTAGATCAATGCTATCTAGACTACATTATATTATAGCAAAGATGCAAAAGGCTTAAAATGTAAGGATTAATCGCCATCATTATGTGTTGTCCATGGCCAATGCCCAAGTACTTTCAACAATCATATTTGGATAACGTTAAGTACCTTCGTGGCTAACTTTCCCAACCACATCTTTAGTTTACAGGACCTCAATCAATGATAAAGACACTTAGCAAAATACTATGAATACTCCTTTTTATCATACAACTCGAATATATACATTTGTTTAAGTTTAAAGAGGGAATGACGACAATCGAGCTTTCATCATAGTACGAGAAAAAAAATACTACGCCACTGAAGCTAGAAGCCCTATAATAAAAACATCTCATTTGAAAGTCATGAAAATGTTTTATTGCAACTTACATGTACCATTGTTACTCATTCTTGCTGCGGTTAATCTATCGTACCTAAGATAATAATAATAATAATAATAATAATGATTTAAGTAATTTCTGGTTGATATTGAAGTCAAAGGAAGCTAGATATCATGTTATTCTAAAACACATCTTATTGCAGTGGTGCACATGGATATGTTGACAAGTGCATGAAGCTTGACCTGGAAAGAAGAGAGATAAAGCTTTAGACTTTAGAGCCATTGCACCTTAAATGCGCAAGACAGGGCATGATTTACTAAAAGCAAGGAATTTGTAACTGGGATACTTTGAACATCTGGTTCTGGAGGACCACACCACATGATCACAGCTGTAGTTGTATAGAAAGAAATTATCTTTATACACTTACTATTCGACGTTGCATATACTCAATTGAACTACCCCTTGAGGAAGAACTTTTTGTACGTTTTCATAATCCGACCTAACATATCGGCGCGATGTTATAAATTTACTCAAATTATAACACGTATAGTGTAGTGAGTCTAGGTTAACCCACACCTAAGCTTAGGGTTGAGTTATTAATAATTGATTCTGGTAGATTTTGTGCTGATATATATATTGTTGGTATTTTGTGTTTGTGGGGGAGAATCATTTTAGAAAGCATAGAAAGTTTGCATAGGGGATGATAAAGATGGGAGCATCGAATGAAAAGGCCCACGAGGGCAGGGCAGAAAGCACAAACAACAAAGAACGAAAGTAAAAAGAAAAATGGAATAAGAGCAGGAGCTCCAATCTTCTGTAAACAAAGTCATAGGGAAATGGCCAAAACTTAAAGGTAGAGGAATTTCTTGATGTAAACAAATCCTATGTAACATGAATAAATTCCTTTTGATCATTGTGATCGATTGAGGCTAAACTTTACAAGTCCAGAAGAATAAAAAGTTGAACTTTAAGGCAGGTTCGCAAGATTTTCAAACCATGCTTAAGCTTAATTATTCATTTGTCTACAATTACTTCCCATATATGAAGCACCATTTTGCATAAGAATGCTTCTACTACCACCTTCAAGTTTCAACATGCTCACGTTATTCTTTTAATCAGTCCTGTTAAGTTCTAAAGAAAAGAAGAAGAAAAATTAATTACATGCCAAATGACGTGACAAATGATATATACAACCAACACATTGACACATCATGTACACAACCCACCACAACTAGTATGGTGCCTTTTGGTTTTTTTGTTCGCAAAATCTGCTGCCTTGGCAAAGGTTTTTGAAGAAGAAAAAAAAAACCTATATGGCCTCCATCAACTACAACACATGAGGGAAATATTATTTTCTCAAGTTTATTTGTATTCTTTGTTTCTTTTGACAGTGTTTAATGAAATATTATTTGTTGACCCCCAAAAAAATAAGGAAAGCTTTTAACGTTGGACTCAAAAAAAATTCTCGCAAGCCCTTCAACTCGCAATTGCAGATGTAGTAAGTAATTGAAACTAACAAGTGGGAAGAGGCTTTCAAAAACGGAATGTTAACCTAATTTTATTGTTCTTATGTTTACAACTAGTACATATGTGAAACTTAATTATTTATATTTTTGCACTTTGCATTTGTGAAGCTTATTCGGTTGGTGTCAATAAATTTTGATGGATTCAAATTGCAAAGGTAAAATTTTGAGCTAGCCCACCCATCGAAAAATTCATAATTCTGCCCTTGAATGTGCATATTATAATTACTTATTCATATTGTGGTACATAAAATGTGTCTTTGTACTGATTTAAGCTGTCAATGTCCTGTGTAGTTGTGCAACCTAACCAATCTCTCTGTTTTTTTTGTCACCTATGTTAGAACTAGCTTTCTTTAATATGCAACCTTAGAGTAAAATTTTTGCACAAATGACCATCATTTTTCTACAATTACAAAGCAAACCTTTTCGATGTAGACCTTATTGAGTATGACTTGTCACCTTATTACGAAAACAAAGGAAGTGGCTTGCAATTCAATTAATTTTTTTTAAATAGTTTAACTCTAACCTCTCTTACTTTTTAGACTAGCTTAGGTTGGCAAGACTCTTGTCGGTGCAGTCCGTATCACCTAATATATATATATATATAAACAAGAAGATTATGATAACATCAAAGTCTTAAAACAAAACCAGTCCATATCCAAAACCAATAGGACTATTTGATATCATTTGATGGGGCCTCATTCCGGATACTTGGCTCGTTTTGGGGAGAATCCGATGGATGAAGGTTTCGAAGGGTTAGGTGCATAGACTAGAAAGCTTGAACTTTTCTCTTTTGAAGTTGAAATCTTTGTCTTTTTTATACCCCTTTTTTGGGTCATTCTTCATTTCTTTAGGAGAAAGGACAATTTGAACAAACCTTATAACAACAACATTCGGGTGAGCTAGCTTAATGCTTCAATTGTCTTTTACCACATTCATATCCAAGCTATGTATTTACAAAGAAAGGGGCGATGGTTCTTGCTTTTATCATCATATGATTAAAGACATTTCTCTATCTCTTTTGTTTTTTTCTTTCTACAATTCATTAATTACCCAAAAATGACTTTGACTTTTTCTTTTTCTTTTTCTTTTCCCAAATGTCAAGCACAAGTTTATAGTTCCATAAACAGAAGAGTAGAGTTGAGCCCAACCATTTTTCCCAACTTATATGTTATTTTCGCATTAAGGGCGTAGCCAAAGTTAGGCTTGAATTGGCTTTGCCCTCCACCTATTTTACAACTCCCTCTAAAGCATCTTCAGGAACGTCTTTAAATTTTAATTAAAATGGCTAAAAAGCTATTATGAGCCAAAGTTAAGCTAAAAATCCTAACTACGTCTCGCATCCAATTGAGTTCTATTCTAGTACTGTCTTTTTAATGTGATCATCTGGTGTGGGATAAAAAGTTGGTGTGCGTAGAATTTTCCATATGTAAAATATAAACAAATATAAAAAAGAAGAAGAAAAGAAATAAAAACAAATATAATACCGTTATCAAGCATAAGTTAACTAACAGTGGGAGATTTCTCAGCTTCATGCCCAGTAATATCACTGCAATTTTAGAATAATATTTTATGGTTTTTGCATCTTGGTAACTGAGTGGAGGCACATTATTTTTTCTCCTTCTTTTGTGTTACCGAAGAAAAAAGATAATTATATATACTTGTTTCAAGGTATCTCTGTATTTTTTTATTTTTGTTCTTTTGCAAGAAACCAAGTACTGTCGACAGTTGGTAATACCTCGAAACCAAGTGTACGGTTGAAGACTGGAGGTTGGCTGGCCTTAGCTTTGGCCTTTCTGAACAGTAGGCAAGTGGAAGCACAGCACACTGACTGGGAACTGGAGGGCAATTTGGGAAAGCAAAGACAGACACAAACAGCAGCAGCAACCAAGCAACCAAAGTCTTCAGCTTGGTTTGGCTTTTGGGTGACTCGGTCAGTGATTGAGCAGTCAAGAACAAGGAAAATGATTTGATAGTAACGTATATTTACACCAAG